TCCTGCCAGTCTCCTCTTTGCTCTCCTTTATAAAACAAGGGAAGGCACGAGGACAGCAGTGCTCCAGCTGGGTCTGCACAGAGTGTCCAGTGCTCTTCCCAAAGCATGTCCCTCTCCTGTGCCTTGGCCTGTGCTCCAGCCAGTACCTGGCAGCCCCGGGAGCTGCAGGAGCCTTGGAGCAGGAGCAATCCCTCGGGGGGGGGTGGCTCTGGAGCCTCCAGAGAGGCACAGTTTAATATCTTAATCTCCACAACTGTATTTACGACCTGCAGCTGCGGTGCCAAAGAGGCCCACGGCCCCTCACACACTGGGACTATTGTTGGCAAAACAGAGCTCGGGGCTCTCTGCAGTGACACACTGAGCTGGGATGGAGACAGGAACTGGGTTTTCCTTCTATCCATCAGGTTATTTTGGGCCTTTATCACTTCTGAAGTACAACAGCCCTTAAAGCAAGGTAATGGGTGAATGAGCAGGATTGAATTTGTCAGAGCTTGGGGCTTCCAGGGAACAAGAACTTGAGCTGATTAATTAAAAAAAAGAATCCCCACGTTACACATAATTTAAAATGAATATATTTGGTAAGTGATGTGTTAGTCTATCGCACAAATGAAATGTTTGGTGCTGTTCTGCAGCCACTTCAAAGGGACAGGACACCTCAGTGACTGGGAGATGTGGGGTTCCTGCTGCCTCACTCCCAGAGCTGAGCTTTTCCCTCGTGTGGTTAAACTCCTACAGAGCACATTTTGGGAGCATACAGGGTTAGGGGCTTTTCTGTGCCAGCTTTCAGTGGTATCATCTTCCAGCTTTTTCCAGAATTCTGATGCCTTTCAACCACATGCATCTCCAGAGAGGGGTGAGAGGATAACCCCTTCAGAGAGGAAAATCCCCACTGGCATTTTTCTTGTGCTTTCTGTATGACAGCTTATAGACAAGCACTAAGTAAGTTTAATATTCCAGGGAATTCAAACGCCCTGACACACATCCTGTACTGTTAACATGCAGAGATTGAGCAGAGAAGTTGTGTCCCTGGACAATAATTAACTGGTTAAGTGGGCAGGTTGTTTGCCAAGTTCACCCCCACACAACATAAATAAGAAATGCTCCTGCTTTTCTGGTATTAATAACTTTGTTCTCAAAAGGGAAAGAAAAGAACAGCAAACTCCGAGAGTTCAGAAGATGCTTAGGGAACCAAATTATTGTTTAATATACCCACAGATGCTGATGTTCATGAATTTTAAAAAGCAGAACACTCATTAGCAAGAGCTCTGTCCCACAAATGTGTTCCTCTAAGGTCCTTTCAGTGCAGCATTTCCAAGAGGTCTCAGCTTTGTGCTGAAGGATCACAACCCTGTCACACTCTGTGCTGGGCCCACGAGGCTCTGCAGAAAGCAGTGGCTTAAAGGTTTCAGACATCCTGCCTTGGAAGTGCTTAGCACTTCCCAAAAATCAGGAATCCTCTTAAGAAAGGTTAAATTATTCCAACTGATTCCAAAAATCTAAATACAAGGCTGGAAAACTGCAAAACATCAAAACCAGGAGATATTAAGAGCTTGGGTTACAGTTCTGGGAAAAAGTTCTAAAGAGTTCTCATTTTAACCAGACCGGTTGAAACTTGGTACAGCATCAGACTTTGACTCCTGTACAGCACCAACACTGGTTTTCCTAAAAAAAAAAGAAAGGAGCAGGAATGACAATTCCAGTGTTACAAAAGCCACATACCTAAACTGATGCTTTCTGGTTGGTGTTTCTCTTATCTGGCATGAGAAAAAGAAAAAAAAAGAAAAGAAAGAAAATCACTGGTAGAGAATGGAAAAGAGCTGCTACACAGTATAAAAAGGTGGAAAAAGGCAGAAATACAAGCAAAAGATAGGAAGAGTGTTCAAATTCCAGATATGATTGCTCAGCAAAATAAAATCTTCACAGCAGTAGCAGTGCAACTGAAGTCAAGGCCCAGATTTGCCCTATTTGAAATTCCTACCACATTAAGTGGTCTTTACCTGGATGGTTATTCCATAAAACCAGATATTCTGGGGTTTGTGAGTAGCCTTGTGTTCAGCTGGGCCTCAAAATTATGCCCTTGAAAACACCGAGAAAGCACTTTCAAACCACACTCTTGATTTTTCAAAGGGAAGCCTGAAATCAACATCACACACAAGGATCAACAGGAGGGGTCTGCAGTCCTGAAAAATCCTTACTCCCAAGAGTAAGTACTCCTGGAAAAGACTTACTCGCACAAGGGGTGATGGACCTCACGTGGAGAGTGAAACGGGCTCATCCTTCCCCCACACATCCTCATTTCATGGGTTGTTTTCAGCCACATCAGAGAACCCCTCACACTTCCAAAGCCTTTCCATTCCCAGTTTATTATGGCTGTACAACTGCACCAATGAAAAAGACGGACAAACTCCGGGAGACACCTTTCTCAGGGTCACCACCTCACGTGGGCATGGAGCTTTCTGCTGGAGCTCCCGGGAACGCACAGAACACGGGATCACACGGCCACAAACTGCAGCAGGAAAGCAAACTGCACTGCCTGGCAGACTGTGAGCAAACCACAGGCCTGATCTTCAGCAACAGTCAAAATAAAAAATGGCAACTATGTTATACTTTAATATCCTCAGAGCATTGTCAGACGTTTAAAAACGAAATCACGGGTTAGCCCAACAGCCAAAGGCCTCAGCACAACAAAACCCGTGCAAGATCTCCCATACAGGAGATACCTTCAGCAAAACAAAGGCTGAAATTCTACCACTAGATTTACTAATCTTACTCTCATGCTTTCTCCTCAACAGTTTTCTCTAATTCTGTGTTTGCACCATCTGTCACCTCTGAACTCCACTGCAATGCAAAGCAGTAAACAAGGAATAACAATAAATATATGATTAATTTGCTTAAGCAGAAGGGGAGAATTTGTTCTCTGTCGCTTGCTACCGACATTTTGGTCCTTAATAACATTTTGTAACTTCAACACCTGTGATAAGGAACTGACATGGTGAGTTTTTACCTCTCACTGTCAGCTTTCTGTGAAAACTGAGAGCAATTTGCTCCCACGGTTCTTCTCTCAAATTAAGTTTACAGTGAAGTAACACCTCATGCCACATTCAACGTGCTCACAATGCCTCCCTTGAAGAGAAATAAACTTGTAAAATCTCACCTCGAGCAAAAGTTTAACATTTGTCATATTTAATCAGCAATAAAGTCAGACATCTAATTCTTCACAATTTATCCTTCACCGACACTATGTCATTTCCAAGCTGAAACGTGGAAAAAATTTTGACATTTGCAGGCAGCGTGGCAGAAAGGCAGCCTGCCATGTTATCACAATAATTTATGTTCTAAAATTCCTGCGAGTCCAACGTGAAAATAACATCTCCACCATTCCAGCCCTTAGTTTAGACAACTCCAGTGTTACTGGATGTGACATGCCCCGGACCAGAAATCATCTTCAATTGACACCAACAGTCCCCGGAGCTGACAAACACAAGTTGCTCAAACCCGCCGTGTGCTTCATTTTCTGTTCTGGTGAGCCATGTTTGAAACAGGAAAAGGGGGTCAGATCTGGGAGTAGAAGAGATTAAACTGCAATTTTGTTTTCCTCATTTTCGGGCTTGCCTCTAGTATCAATCTCAGCCTGCTCTAAATTACGTCCAGCTGTCTATTGCCCCCAGGGACAATTCTAGCAGCCAGAATTAGTTGGGAGTGCAGTGACATTTTAACCACACACAGTTTTCCTTCAGCCTACCTATCCCTGGGTTTTTGAGGACAATGGGGGGTGGCAACACATCCTGCCAGGAAGAAAAAATGGGAACGTTTAGGTCATAAACACATTCGAGTTAAAGAATTTATGAAAACTGTGGGGTTTTAAGAAAGCAAAGACTGAGATGTGACAGAGAGTTCACCAGAGCAGTAGGGAATAGAGCACACCACTTCCAGAAGGAGCCAAACCCATGGAAAAAAAGGCAAAATTAGGGACCAGCCTTACAGGGCTGTTTCAAATGCCAGTGCCTGCTGTAAGGGTTGGCCTCGGCCACGCCACGACGGATGGCCATGGAAGGATGGATGGTCTGGCCACGCCGTCACCCTCAGACATCTCAGAGATGTAAATAAGCTGTTCTCCCGCTGAGCAGCTCCTCACATACCTCACACTCCCAGCAGCACTTCCAAGGGTCTGCATTCCGCCATCCTACAGCAGGCAAACCTCCAGCTGCCTCAGTGGGACATATCTGAACTACCAAACCATCAACCCAGTCGGTCTCCCACCTCCATTTAAAGGGCTGAGAACCATCCTTTGGCAGGACAGGGCATTCCATCAAAGGTAAAACACTGTCTGAAGGCAAGTGAAGAGGATCCCTGCTCAGACACTGCTCAGACACTGCTCATACATCCTCCAAAATGAGCTTTCTGCCGTTCTCTGCTTTGCTCTTTCCAGACTGAAAACAAACAACTGTCCTGTGACACAATGTTTCCCTAGATGGTAGATTAAGACTAAACTGTTAAATATTTTTACTTAATTCAGAATCCAACAAGTTAAATTCTGTTCTCTTTGTGTGGCAGATATGACAGTGCATTCAAAACTCACTAAGCGGTGCTGCCAGTAGATAAAAGCATTATTATGCATTCTGTTTTCTATAAGCAAGAAACAGTAAAGTTTCAAAATATATATATCATCATCATATATATGCACATCACAAATATGAATCCAATTTACACAAACAGAAGTGAATAACTTAGAGCCAATCTAACACTTGGAAGCTGTACTTCTAAATAGTGACACAGAGGCTTTAAGGGGATCATTTTGGAGCAGGAGGAGACATATCAAAAGAGAGTTTATTAAACATGTTGCCATATGAAAGTACATGTAAAATGACCTAAAACATAGTTAACCTAAATTTTCTCTACTACACACGTTGTTGCTTCTGTACTTTAATTACCAGTGAGGTGTGTGGACTGTAAATACATTTTTAGGAGTCCCACTTACCTGTAAAACTGCAGTGAGAGAGGGAAAATCCTGTCTTCTCTCATAACTACCTAAAAAATAGAAAATAGGCAAAATACAGCTAAAAGTATTCTGAAATACCATCTTGGTTCATTCTAAAACGGGTAAGACAGTCAACTATTGGATTCAGAGACAAAATTAATGAGCACTGTATGGCCATCCATAATGGAACCAATGTTTTATGTAACATCAACTATAATTTAATGTTAAGAATTGAAGGGATTGGATAGGAAAGGTATTCTCTAGGCCAGCAGTGCTGGTAGTCTGCAGCCTAATGAGACATTTTTTCAGGAGATTTCAAGTTCTCCAGGCCCTTCAAGGTCAACATGAGGGAGGTAAAAACATTTTTTAAAACTAGAGACCTCACGTTCGACTAGGAGAACAGAATAGAGCTGCACTAACTATATCACAGGGCCCCCAGGAGCAAAGTTGGGGAATTAAATAAAGATCCACCTTATCCCTCCGTGGAAAGAGTTCCTGGACACCTTCTCCTCACAAAAACCCACTAAAACTTCTAAATCCCAGCAGTTCCCCCTTGTCCTCTATTCTTTCCAGGAACTTTCCCACCGGGTAGGGAAATAACAGCATTTAATACGCAGAAGAGGTTTTTAGAAGAGCTGATTGCTGAACTTAGGTGATGTCTGTGGAACAGTCATTCCCACGTGAAGGACTCCTCGTGGCTTTTATTTACGGAATATAAAACGTGCATGAAAATACTTCAGTCTCGCTATTTTGAATCTCAAGGGGAGGTTTTGATTAAATATTAGGGAACTTGTATCCACATAAAGGGTTGTACAGCATTAGGAACAAGCTGCCCAGGGCAGTAATGGAGTCACCATCCCTGGATGCGTCCAAGAACGTGTGGCTGTGGCACCTGAGGACAGGAACACTGGAAATAGGTTCTGCTTGCAATCAAGTGTCAGGGTACGAGATTTAAAGGCGTTTTTTAAGGATTTTTTTTCTTTTAAATGTGCTCTTTTCAGCCTTTGGTTTACGCCACGCACCTCACGGAAGGAGCGACAATTACATCGGCCTGGGCTGCGGAAAAACCCGCATTTTCACGCCTGATTACAGCGCCAATGGCGAACTTCACGACCTTAAAAGTTTTGGGGTTTTTTTTCCCCAAAACGGGTTTTGGGACTCACACAGGGCACCAAAACGATGGATGTCCCACGGAGACACCCCGAGGACCGCCAGGGGCAGGGCTGTCCCCTACGCCCCCCGCGCCCCGCCCCGCCGCGCGCTCCCTCACGGCACCCAACATGGCGGCGGGCCGCACCTCCCCGTCGCGGCGCCCCGCCCCGCCGCGGCCCGCGGGGCCGGCAGGGCGTGCGGGGCTCGCGGCGGGGACGCGCGGCTTCTATTTAGCGCAGGGCCGGCGCCGGGCACGCACCGGCACTCCGCACCGCACCGGACCGCACCGCGCCCGGTACAGCACCGCACCGCACCGCACGGCGAGCCCCGCCGGCACGGCGCGGGGAGGGAGAGAGGGACGAGCGCGCTGGCCGCAACCGCCAACCGGGGCAAGGACAGCGAGCGGCCGCGGCATCGCCGCCGGCGCCAGGCACCGCGGAAGGACAGCGAGCGGCCGCCGCGCACCGCACCGCCCGCACGGGCAAGCGGCGAGAGGAGAGCGAGCGGCGCCGGCCCGCAGCGGAGGCCCGCCGACACAGCAGCGACCGCCGCCCGCCCTGCCCGCCGCAGGTACGAGCGGGTCCGCGCCAGAGCCCGGCAGGAATGCCCGGCGCTGTCCCCCCCCCCGCATTGCTCATTGACCGAAAAGTCGCTTTGTCCGCCCCAAAGCGGTGCCGCGTGCGCGGGCAGTGCCGCATGGCCGGCGCCTCCGCCCGCGCGCTCCCGCTTCGGTGAGCGTCGAGCCCGGGATGTTTTAAAACTCCGTGGGACCGGTTATTTCCGCCCCCCTCCCCGGCTGGATAAAACCCCCGGGCTGGGAAGGGCGGCCGAGCCTCCCCGTCTCCTCGCGGGAGCGCCCGGCCGCCTCTCCCAGGTAGGGGCTGGGTGGGCGCCCCGCTCCCAGCCCGCTCCCGGGGGTGCCGCTGCCTCCCCCGGCGATGGAGAGCGCCGAGAGCACTCCCGTTTGATTTGTGTTTCCTCTCTTTCAAGGTTCACGATGTTGACAGCTATGTTCTTGGCTGCTCTCGTTCTCATTACAGTACATTCGCAGGAAGCTGAGGAAACCATAACGTACACGGTAAGGTTTAATAGAGTCGGAACTAATTACTGCTTTTGCGGGGATTCTTTTCTAAATGGCCCTTAGGAAAAACCGAATTTCTTGCCAGCGTGTAGCGTGTGTTGCAGAGGTCGTGGAGTTCGGATGTTAACCATAAAATAAGCCGTTCCTGCCCTGAAACACCGTTTAAAAGTTGACAGGATTGAGCAAAATAGGCTTCGACTGCCTGCTCTGAAAAGTTTAGCTGTGTACTCAGCTTGAGGGACTGAACAAAGTTAGGAGGTTCTAATATTGTTTTAATCCATTTTCATAAAGACAGGGTCCCTAGGACCTTCACTTGAAATATATGGAATTTGACAGATGATTAGGTCGAACATTCTTTAGTGTTTTCTTAAGGTTATTTCAAGCTGCTTTTAACAAAATGTAAGTGCTTCCAAATTCGGGGCTCTTAATGAAGCATCTGAGTCCTGCAGTGATCACGGGACTGTTCATTTCTGAGCTGCTTCTGAGCACTGTTTTTGCATGGCTTGATAAAATCGTACAGGAGTGCTGGAAATAGGTCCTGCTTGCAACCAAGTGCCAGGGTAAGAGATTTAAAGGCGTTTTTTAAGGGTTTTTTTCTTTTAAATGTGCTCGTGTTCAGCCTTTGGCTTGCATAGTGCATGTCACGGAAGGAGTGACAATTACATCGGCTTGGGCTGGGGAAAAACCCACATTTTCACATCTGATTACAGTTGTAATCCCTGCAACTTGCTTCATATGGGTGGACCTCTGGATGTGTGCACAGACATCAGCAATGCCACACAAGCAGAAAATTCTGCACACATGCAAAAAGTTAGAGAACCACAGCCAAAGCCTGAGATTGGGACTTACACAAGTAATCCCACTGAAGTCAGTGGGATGGCTCCAGCAAGTAAATATTGCAGAGTTGGACCTTCTGGTAGAAGTCAGGGCTTAGAGAAGCCTCAAGTGAGCATCAGGAAGTCAGTCATAAAATACTTTAACACCGGGCTTTAGGAGCATTAGGGATTTGAAGGCTGGGAGTACTTTTATTCAGAGGCTTCTGTGATTTACTTTTTTTTCCAAGTCCCTATGTGTAAGTGGAAACTGAAGATCTAAGTACCTTTTGAAAATCCAGACTAAACAGGGATCCCCCTCCTCCTCCTTTTCTGCATTTATTACATGTTCCTTTTTAAAAATAAAGTAGCGTTTTTTGATAAGCCTCCATAATTCTGATTTTGCCAATTGAAAGTTTGTAGCAGGTCTATATAACTTGGGTACCTATGCTTCATTTCCAAAGAGCTCTTAACATTTAGGTGCTTCGATGATCATTAGACTTCCAGCCGTGTAAGATGAAACAAAAAGCTTAGCTTTGGGAGCTTTGACTCTTGGGATGCTACTGTTTCTCATGCAAACATTGTATTCACTTAGGGCCAAATCCTTTGCTATTGTACAAGTGCCTTGGGCTGCAGTAATAGATGGACTTGGCTCCTTGCAGTTAAACACACAGTACTTCTGTTGTGCATTAACAGGAATCGGGTGATTCAGTAAATGCATGAATTAGCTGTTTTCCCCCGGGTCTGCGTTTTCATAGCTACAGTAACTTTGGTGTTGTCAACTCAGCATGTAGTCATTCCTTTAGGGAATGTCCACTTACCCCTCTGGGAGAAAGAGCCTTCAAAGTTCCAGCTCGCTGCCAAGTCGCTGGTGTCACCTGCAAGGCAAGAGAACGTTTTCAGTCCCACTGCTGAGTCAGTAACGAGTTCCTCAAAATAACTTGAGAGTACGTGGAACACGTGCATCTTGGCATCAGAAGGTCAAGTTTGTCACCTGTAAGTCCCTGAGCAGCAGAGGAGTAGCAACAAGATCGAGCTTGCTTGGCTGTGACTAATTCCATTAGCCGACTCAATTCTTTTGTTGTATGGGGCCATTAAACCAATATCCTGAGCAGCACAGGATGCACCCACACAGCACAGCCCCGTTGATTCCCTGAGAGTTTCATACTTTAAATGTTTCTGCTGCAGTTGGTAGCACCGGGATACTTTGCTACTCAGTGTCTGCAACTGCGATCTGTGATTAAAATGACTTTGCTCTAGACAATGTAGTGGTTTTGGGCAGAGGGACAGTGAAGATGCAGGGCAGAATATTTAAAATTATTGCTGAACTTGCTAGTCTGCACTGATATGAGGAGTTGCCGAGCCTTGTCTTGTTTGAATTTTGCAAAGTCTTGTATAAATAAGTAGTCCTGCCGTCATAAACTCTAACGGTTTATCGCGTGTCTCACAATATAAATTGTCCTTCCTCGACGGCAGTCCCTGGAGTCATGTGATTAAAAAGCATGTGAATGAATTCCCAGCCGTGCTAGAGTGCTAATGGGAGAGAGGATGAAGGCCAGGGGCACAGAGCCCCCCCAGACCTTGGGAACGAATCGTGTTCACCTGTTGGAAGGCTGTGTGAACAAGACCAAAATTCAGAAAAACTTGCTGGTTTGTTCCTGAGAAGATTTTCGTACTGGTCAGCTGAGCCAAGCCAAAGGACAGATGCTTTAAGACAGTGTATGAGAACAGGGCAAGGAGAAAGTGATGCTTTGCTCACTTTGTTCTCCAGCCCTGGTAAAACCATCTTACAACAAACAATACCTTGGGAACTTCCCGAGACAGAGCCTCTCTCTGTACATTATAGAATATTCCAAGTTGGAAGAGACCCAGACTTGTTGTTCATGCAAAACCCAGTGTTGTACCCATAGCTATTACCCACAGCCATTTTTCTAGCTTACCAAGGTGTGCAAACATTGCTTTTCCCTCAGTGCCAAACTGTGAGCTCACTGAATACGCTCGATTATTCTTCCAAAACTAAGAATCCCGAGCAGCCTAATTTCTTTGCTTCTTTTCTCTTTCTCTGCAGCAATGCACGGATGGCTACGAGTGGGATCCCGTTAGGCAACGGTGCAAAGGTACAGTGACTCATTCTCGCAGACAGACTCGCCACCGGTATTGTTTGCACCCCCTGTTTTGGGCAGGGAGGGCTGTGTGCACATCTGGTTGTTTTGTTTGTATTGTGGCTGTTGCAGGAGGTCCGCCTGCTAAAAGCATGCCTTGTGTTGTTGCTAACCACAGATATTGATGAATGTGAAATAGTCCCAGATGCATGTAAAGGTGGGATGAAATGTGTTAACCACTATGGAGGATACCTCTGTCTACCCAGAACGGCCCAAATTATTGTAAATGAGCGGGAAGAGGCAGCGGCCGAATCCACCAGCGGTCGGAACAACGTGATCCGCCGGACCCCGGCCGACCCCCAGCGAGCCCCCCCAAACCCAACCCACCAAATCCAGTGCGCGGCTGGGTACGAGCAGAGCGACCACAACGTGTGCCAAGGTAAGGCTGAGCTTTGGAATGGTCAGAGTGTGGGGGACAGCAATCCACTGCCTGGGCAGTGACAGCCTGGAATCTCCCGTTGACTGGAAGGGGTTGTTCTCCATTGAACTGGACATGTGCACGCTGGAGATATGTGAAATAAATCACAGGCATGGCGCTGAGCAAGGAACAGACCGTGCAGTTCGTTGCAGCCTTACAGTCTGTTCCATCTATTTAGAATTAATTCTGTTGTCTGTAGCTCCTAAAAAAAAAAGAAAAACCCTCAGGGCAACTCTAGTCCAGCATTTTGTGTTGTACTAAGTATGTCAAGGAGAGGCAGTGCTGTGAAAAAAGCGGGCAAGACAGCAAGTCAGAAACAGCTCCTAAAGGTTTGCAGAACTCTGTGTTTTTCAATAACTAAATGCTGAATGGGACAAAAAATAACCACTGGGTGAACGTCTGCTTAGAGCAGACTGCAGTGCAGGAGGGTCCAGTGCTTTCATCCTGGATCAGGAATATTTCTCCAGTGGTAGGAACCAAACATCTGAACAGCTTTGTGCTCTCGTGATCCCTGTGGAAGTAGCTCTAGGCAGACCCTGCCAGGTTGCTTCTAGTCATAGCCTGGCCACTCTTTGAAACTATGGCAATGAAGAGCTTTCATCTGAGAGTACATACACCACACACAGTGCCAAAAATTCTCAGGGCATTAGCAATGTTAATTGTATGCATTCAGCAACCAGACTCACAAGCACTACTGTAAACTAAGACTCTTTCATTTATTATTTCATATAAATAGTTTACTCTTCTACTTGCTGAAGTAACAAATGTTTCGTCCACTGTTTTGTTTTCTTTCATAAAAATATATTCTACTCCTTGGTCCTAAACTTGCTTTTCAAGCACATTAGTGGGATACCCCTGAAAACAGAGGGCAAAACTTGACCTCATGGTTCATCTTTTCCACTTTGTGGCCTGTAACAGTATAATCACATAAAATAGTACTTGAGTGACTATAATCAGGGCAAGCTGTAATGTACAGTGGTAGTTTCCTTCTCCCTGGTATTCGTGTACACAGAACGTTATTTATCACTAGTAAGTAAATTCCCTGTCATTCTGGAGCATAGTAATCATCATGGAGAAGTTATTTTTGTAGGCAAAGCCTCAGAGTTGCATTTCTGGCTTATCTGCTCACGTTCAACGTTTTCTGTCACCCCAATTCAAGAATGTCAGGCACAGAACAAGCAGGAGGTCAGTGCTGTGATCCCCTCAACCCTGGGCATTCACTTGGGGTTATCAAGAGAAAATCAGAGCTAAGGATGGAAAATTACTTTTTTTTTTTTTTCTTAGTTTAACTTGGCAAAGTAGGGGCAGAACCAGGAGCAGAACTCTTGGGTTGGGCTGGCACTCTTTCCTTCAGGTGATGCTCCTGGCACTCCTCCTCCCTGGTGAATCACAATAAACTGCTCCAGCTTTAGCACAAAACGTTTTGGTCTGATTAAAAAATGCGAGAAATGCTAGAAAACTTCCAGACCTGACCATCCCTTTTGCTGCCCTGGCTTTAGGGGTATAAATTTGGGATAGAGTAGGGAAGACTAACAGCATGTTAAATACCTCGTATTCCAAATAAAGGTTGGGAGTTAGAGACCAACAACTGGTTGAGGTTTCTGTTTTGGTGAGGAGAAGATTGGTGGTGGTGCATTACTATTACTTTACTGAGACTTGCAACTAAATATTTCTACTCAATTCACAATCTCTGGTTAATTTATAACAAGTAACTGTTGTTACAGCACCAGAACACTGTAACCCAAGCACACAAACTGTGCTGAAATCTTGGGCTTGACTGAATCAAGAGTTTTGCTACTCATTTCCTCATGCCAGGATTTCAATCTAAATGCAGCAAGCATGGAAATATTAGTGCTTAAAAGCTGAAATGTATTGTACTGAATGAATTCCAGCTGGAAAAGGGGCAGTGGACAGTGTGCTTGAAAGAAAGGATAAAAGACTTTTGGAGCACTTAAAGCCTGCATTCAACTTCATGATCTTCGTGCTTTTTCACTGCTGAAAATATCTTATAAAAGATAATCTTGATCAGCAATGGTCCCAGTGCGGATTTATTTAATTATGGTTAAAAGACTTTGCTATGATAACTGCCCCAGGCTCCCAGGGAGTGTAACTTACAGATACAGTCACACTTCAGCTTGTTTTATTGTTTAGTAAATCAAATATGAAGTCCAGCTCCTTCTAATTGTTTGCAGATGTATGACATTCTCCTTCCAGTCCAGCAGCACTAAGTATTTTATAACCCATGTGAAAGTGTGGAGACCTCTGGTTAAAACAATAACACGCTCTGAGGAGCTGAATTACTGACATCATGCTGGAGTGTGAGGGGCCTTCTGTTTGAACACCAGTGTCCACTCCCTTTAAACACGGAATATGGGGGTAGCACAGGCCAAACACACTCCTGGGCTTGGAGTAAATAGATATAAATGTACTGGTCCTGGTTTTGAAGTGCTGAGATAGAGCATTTTTATAACTACTAGTGTTTGGAAACATGTGGATGTTAAAGGTGTAGGTAGTAAAAATTTCCTGGGAAATTCTGAAGTGAGTGCCAGGAGCCCCCAGAACGATGCAAAGCTGAGGGGAGGTTATTCTGGAGGGAGATCTCTTATGCAGGAACTGTACAGAGTGCTGTGCTTCAACTTCAACAACTTGGGCCTTAAATTCTGAGTTTATGACCTTAACTAATCCCCCCTGTCCCCATCCTGGGATAACTAGTTCCCACTTCACTGTCACTCCTAGATTTGCTCACCAAGGCAGATTCCCAGATGTGGCACAGGAAGGCATTGGGATGCCCAGACCTATTTACAAGGACATGTAGGACAAGGGGGAACGGGTTTCAATTGAAAGAAAGTAGGTTTAAATTGGATATTAGGAAGGAATCCTTCCCCGTGAGGGTGGGGAGGCTCTGCCACAGGTTGCCCAGAGAAGCTGTGGCTGCCCCATCCCTGGAAGTGTCCACTGGGAGAGTATCACTGTAACTGGGAGGAGCAAAAAACAGAGTAAGAAACAATTTTAAGCAAATAACTGAGTTGACTCACGCTCACAGACACTTTTTGCCTGATAAAAACCATAAATAGCTGCACTCAGTGCCTCATACAAGACTGAGTCGTTTTTTACTGTGATTTGAGTCTGCTCCTATTGCAGTCAAAGGCAAATCAGCCAATTAATTCAATTTTGTCAAGCCTAGTCTGCAAGAACATACTGGCTTTTCCTAGAATGTTAATGACACTGGAATGAAAAAAAAGGGACCAAACAAAGGTACCAAATAACCTGTAAACTTGAGAGGGGGAAAGAACTTATTTTTCTTGCCTTGCTCCCATGCTGGCAATACAAGCAATAAAGTAAGCAGGTTTTCTGCTCCTCAGCTAAATGAGCTTCTGATATTTCTCCAGTCTGTTTATCACCCTTTGTGCTACTGCAAATGTGAAGGACAGGAGGGAGGCAGATTGTAATACAAGAGATCAATACTTTCTCATATGACAGAGACATTTTTTTCCAAGGAGTTCTGCCTAGACTTGGTGGATGTTAGTTGCTTTTTTCCTTCTCTGTGGTGGGAGGAAAGAAATGAATTTGTTTTCTGTGCTGTGGTTACTTTTCCCCTGCAAAATCATTTCAGGGCTCTCTTCATCGTAGGGCTCAGGGATTTTTTTTTTTGTTAAGTTTTCTGGTTCTTTTCAAAATAACTTACCATACTCAAGCTATGCTTTTAATTCAAGAAGTTAATTAAGTGTGAATAAATCAAATAAGCCTACATTTTGCATCTCTAGAGTCCTTTGTTCTGTTAAGGAGGGAGGGACAAGGAGGAGCAGTTCACAGTGTCCTTTTTCATACAGAAATCACTTTATATTAAATATATATATATATGTGAGGGACGTGCAAGTGGCACACAAAAGACATAAGAGGTGGGTGAGTGCAGGTGCCCTTGCCTGGCCCTGGCTGTGCCTCTGGCAGCTCTTCCCTGGCATCTTGGCTGGGGCACAGAAGGCTGCTCTGCAATGCAGCTCCTAATGAGCTCCACTTGCCCTGCTTTGATTGCCCTCCCTGAGGGCTCCTGGAACGTTTGCAGGTCCAGCTCAGAGGGAACCAAACCTGGAATGCACAGCAGGAGGGCCACTAATGTGCCACAAGCACTAACGAGCATTCCAGTGTTCAGGGCCGGACTGCAGGGAGCCCAGAGCCCCTCAGAAGGGCATGGACTGGGAGTCTGGAGCCTCTGCACCAAGTTCTGATCTGCTCCTATGAGTTAGAGCTATTTGCTAACACAGAACCTAAAATACAGCTATAATAACTCCTTAGGCTGAGCCCAGGAACGTGTTGGAGAGCTTTTTGTAACATATTGCATCACACCACGTTTTCCCCATTCTTGTATGTAAGGAGTACTTAAAAAATGCCTCAGGACTAGTTTGGAAAGAGCCTGAATGTGACAAGTTCAGTTCCAGGGTTGTTCCCCTCTGGGCAAGACTATTTACAAGAACATGTAGGACAAGGGGGAATGGGTTTAAATTGAAAGAGTTTAGGTGTAGATTGGAAGGAAGGAATCCTTCCCTGTGAGGGTGGGGAGGCCCTGGCACAGGCTGCCCAGAGAAGCTGTGGCTGCCCCATCCCTGGAAGTGTCCAAGGCCAGGTTGGATGGGGCTCGGAGCAACCTGGGATAGGGGAAGGTGTCCCTGCCCATGGCAGGGGGTGGGATTGGATCACCTTTAAGGTCCTTCCAACCCAAACCATTCTGTGATTCTCTGAACAGCACTAGACCTGTTTGGTTGGAGGACGGGGTGAGGAGAGAGGCTGTGACAGGAAAAATAAGGCCTTGTTATGTGGTTCAGGATGCCATCAGTTCATCCAAGTGCCAGCTCAGTTCATATGTCCATGTTTGCTGCAGAACTTCAGCAAGTGGGGAGCACCTGAGGTGGCTCCTGCTGGCAACAAGTGCTGCCCACTTGCTGAAGTTCTGCAGCAAACACGGACAAGTGAACTCTGGTTACGTGTGCCATTTGAATATTAAGTACTTGGACAAGCCATAGGAATGTTGCAGGTCCAAGGGAATCCACAGAAGGACACAAGCTGACACTCTGACAGCTCTTTGTCCCGACTGTTCACAGATGCCAATTAATTTCTTGTACATTTGGATGCATCATGCAGAGATCGTCTTTCCTCAGCCCATCCCGAACCAATTGTTCAAGCTGTTAATCTGTGAAACTGCTGCATTCTGCTGCAAAGAGCCCTTTCTGGAGCATCTCTCGAGGGCCCAGAGGGAAGCTCACAAAAAAAACATCTCGCTTTGAGGGCCTGGTTTGGGGCATTTTGGAAATCTGGTCCCTGTGAATCATCTCCCCGTGTGCGCTATTTGCACAGCTGTGAGTGTCATGTCAAGACCTTGGATGGATATTCCCTGTTCTGTCTGACCATTTTGCTGGGAGCATCCATCACAAGCATAAATACAAGCAGCTGCTTTCTTTCTTTTAGTGAGTTGCTGTTTTCCCATTGTCCTGACCCTGCAGGAATATGCTCCATGTGCTGCAGCTAAAGATTCCTCCCCCTTTGCTAATGGTGCTAAGTGTCCTAGAGGCAAGCGAGCCTCCCAAAGCTGTATTATTTACCTTAGCTGCTGAACTGGGATTGTGCAGGCAAGCCCCAGACTCCCAGTTTAAGTAAACTCATTAGCAGTTCTCATGGCTCCTTGTTCCAGGAAAATGGGATTGTACAGTAGTCACATCCACTGTCATCCTCGTGGGCTGGATTTGTTGATTTTAAAGCCTGTTTCCTTAGTAGCTCGGAGGAGGCTCATGTTTTGACAGACAAAACATTGCAAATGGACTCAGAAGGCACATGGCCTGAAGAAGTCCAAGCCTCCAGCCATCTGTCCTCCTTCAGAATTCCACTCTCTAAGCTGGAGGTCTTTTCCACGGTGCAATCAGGAATAACACCAGATAGCAAAGGGGAAGAATGTGCTTATGCCTGATCCTGACTTGGCTTCCCCCTGTACTTGGCACCCCATTAAAAGGCTTAGAGTATTTATCTCTCCCTTTGAGGAATTCCCTGTACCTGCTGCAAACTCCGACACAGGCATCCTGTGAGTCAGGGAACCACCCAAGGACTGGGAGCTGTCAGTGGGGAGCATCAGAGAGCACAGAACGGGGCTGGTGGAGCACGGGATGGGTTTGTTCCCCGTGCCAACACCTGCTCCCAAGGAAACACATCCTCCAGCACTGCACTGGTGCACTGAGAGCACCCTGGCAGCAGTTATTGGCACCCTTCCTGGAGAGTTTTAGTGATACTACTGCCACTTGGGGGATAGATTTTTGGAAGCCTACTGCCACGAAAGGATCACGGGGATGTTCCCAGTGTGCTTGCTCTGGGCAGGTCTGCAGTTGTGTCTTCCCGGTCTCCTGCACTCTCATTCCTCAGCCTGCTGAGAAAGGCTCCTCCTCCCTCCAATTGTTTGCTCAGGGTAATTTTCTCTCAACCAATTTCTTCTCCCTTTTCAAAGCCCATTCCTACTTCAGATTAATTAGTGGACACTGGAAACGCTCTTTCATTTTGGAAGTACCAAGCCACCTTTCCTAGGACATTTCTAAAGGATCTCAGCACTGCAGACACATAGTTTTCAAAGTTCCAAGACATTGCTTGAATTTAGCAAGTTGGAAAACTTGTTCAAGTTTGACACTGTTATTTCCCTTATTTTATTCCCTTTCCAAGTGATTTTCTCCCTTTCCATGCTGGCAGAGAAAGATGATAGCTGCTGTTTGTCTCTGCCTTTCTGTGAGTGCCAGAACAGTCCTGCAGGGAGAACAAAGCCTCCCACAAAGGCAGCAGTGGTGTGTTTGATTCTCCCCTGCACCACCCAGGGATGCCTGTGCTCCTCTGCATGTCCTTTCCCAGGGAATTCCATCTGCTGCTCCACAGCCCAGCCTCCAGCACTCCAAGAATCCATCCCGTGGGATGTTCAGACTTGCTGTGCTGCCCTTTTCCTCCGGCCAGAGACAATGGGAGTGTCACAGGACTGGGGAGGTATTTTGGGGCTGGTGGAAACCACAATGGGAGTGTAATTTTTGAGCTCACCTTCCCGGGCTGCATCTCAAACATTCCACAGATTTTGTGGTGTGCTCAGCTACTCTTGTGCAGCACTTTGTGCTCTGTCTTTGTTCACTGAGCAAGGGTTTGTACTTTTTGATCAGGGCTTTAATGTAAGCTGAGCTTGGCCACCTCCCTTCGTTACACTTAAAGAATATTTATTCCCTCTTCCCCTCTGTGATGTTTTTTGTTCTGCTTTTTCTGGACTATCACCATTAAAGCATGTTCTAGGATAAGTCACACTGGATTTAAGCATCCTTTGGGCTGAAGGGTTTTTATCAAAAGTTTTTACACATACCTGTGGAAGTTTAGTTGCTTCTGTCCACGAGATTGGGGGATCAGAACTTGACTTGTAAGCTCTCTTCCCTCTGGATGTGTCAAGAAAATATGGAGTAGGTCATCAGCCATATAAAATTCATGGGTAGAAAGCATGAAATTCCCCAAAAACCTTATGTTTTCATCTGTACTTCACTAAGTTTTGTTTTCATGGCAGCCAGAAAGCAACGGTTTGGAGAAAAAGTTATTTGCCATAATTAAACATGCAGCACAATTTAACTTGCAAAAAACATACTGAACACACAATAATCCTGCTTGTTTCTTCTTTCATCTACATTTGAACTTTACCAAAAAGACAAGAGGGATTTGCAAATTACAGAGCTCTGAAGTATTTTAGCACACATGCAGTTATTACAAAATACCTTTTATGCTCATTCCCATTTGTGTTTTAGTTGTTAATGTGAAATCCCTTTGGAAGTTGGTTCTGTTGCAAGTAGAGTGGAGAAATGTTTCATCTTTTTTAGGTAGAATTATATGGTAAAACCTGTAGCATTGAAGCTGGAAAAAAAAATGAGTAAGAAAACGTGTTATACAGACTTTTAGAAGTTGCAGTGCTGAGAAAAAGTTCTTCAGGCCCAAAAATTAACTAGACATTTTCTGGCACAAGGTATCCCAAGCTCTTAATTAAGCATTTTTAAAATGAGATATAATTAGACCCTTTATCTAATAATAAAGTTATATCTAATTTTTTTAAATTAGATATAAGTAGACCCTTATCTGTTGCTGTTACTAAATACCTTAAATAAGGAACTTCACCTCACTGAAATATCTTCACCTCCACCCCATATCTGTTCTGCAGTCAGAATTGGGAAAGGTAACAATTTCCTGGGTGGTTTTCAAGAGCTTGCCCATAAGGTAACATTTCACAGGAGGCTTGCACACAGGAAAGGAATACATTTCTGCTCACTTTGCCACGTTTTCAGTATGATTTTAGGACTTGGCCTATCTTATAAAACTACCCCGATCAGAAAGATGGGAAAAACAATCTCTTTCTTGTCTAAATTTACTCTGTGGAGAATTTTGAGTACCTGGGCTCCATTAAAAACTAGGTGGGATTAAATACGCATTTAGAAGCAACAAATACAGTCAGTGTTTGGAGAAAGTTCATCTAAGTTGATCAACATAGCATCACTTGGAGAAATAAATATCTTGGTCAAGTGCCTTAAAAATAGCAACAGAGTTCTAAATCAGTCTCAGGGTTCTGGGGTTTGCAGGAGCAGGAGAACATTGTGGCTCAAACAGCCTGAGGGGGAAGAGAGTTATAACCATATTCATAACCATGTTCCTGTTACAGTGTGTGCAGGAAAAAAAACCACCCTTTTTCCCCATGGCAAACAATGACCATTATTTAAACCATCCAGAAAACCTATTATTTAATCTGTTAGTCAGCATGTGGGAAAGGATGATTTTGGGGAGGGGGCTGCTGTCTGTGTGTGTCTTCCAAGACAAAGCATTCCTCTCTCAGAAACTGTGGCTCTTTAAGGCTATAAAAGAGAAAATTCCCCGTGTTTAGAAGATTATTTTTATGAAAGGGTTGCTTCATTCCGTATTTAAATCAAAACATTCTCTCCATTCCGATGACACTGAGATTTCAGTGTCCCCTGTCAGGAGAATCTCTCCTCGCTCTGGATGCAGATTTATAAGGCTCCAGGCACCTTTGAAATCAGCTGGAAGCACAGCCATGGCCTGGAGCCAAAAGCCCAAACCAGCCAAGGAGATCCACCCAGCAACACCCTCGAGCCCCCCCAGCTCTTCCCCTAAGCACAGCTTTAGAGCGCTAGGCTTGAGCTTGTCTCTGCTTTCCCCACCCTCCCAAACGCTTCCTGGGGGATTCCCCGGAGCCGCGCGAGGGCTGTCGGGGACGCAGGAACGCTTCGCTGCCCTGATTTTCTCACCTAGCAAACAGCTCTTTGCAGGGCTGCTCACCCCGGGGCAAGGGCAAACGCTGCAAAACAGAGAAAGCAACGGTTTGGGGATGAGGACAGGTTTGAAACACAGGGAAAAGGGATAAATATGGCAAACCCACGGAGAGACAAGAAGGGGTTGGGGAAGGCAGGTTTGCAAGTGCTGTTTTCCCACTTGGAGACACACAGTTCCAGTCTTGATTTGTGATGCTGAAAGGTGGTATGGCTGGAGGAACCCAGAAAAGGAAATGCTTCCTTAACTCCCTGCCATGGGATAGGAGTGAGGCCAACAGAATTAAACGAAAGTCTGGGTATTTTACACAGAAGTTAAACCCCAGCACCTTCTGAAAGGGTGATAAACCTAACTGATGCTTAAGGCAATCTGTAATTATTAAAGAATGTCAGGATGAGGTTAATTGTTGAAGAGCAGATTGGTGATATCTGTAATTTTCTGAGGTATCTCATTCTGAGAATGCACAGCCTGTCACGTTTTCCACCTTCCTGGATGTGGTGACTGCTACCTGTGGATTGAGCACCAGGCAATTCCCAGAGCTCTGACTAACCACTCGAGTAGACATTAGATGCTCAATGCCATAATAGAACCACTACAACCTGCAGAAGGCTGAGACTTTTTCTGGGCACAGAACAAACCAGTGTAGTTTTGCTGAGAACTAAAAACATTGGGAAATTCAGACGAGAGCTTCTGTAATTGTGCCAAAGTGTAAATAATCTGATTATTAGCTGTCAAGTGCAACTCCATACACTTCTATAGCAAAAAGGAACCAGGTTTTAGCATCAGAAGATTTTCATGATAGGAGTCGTGGTTTGTTATCATGGAATACTGACATTCAGTGACATTTTGTACTGGCAAAGCTTCCAGGGGCCTTGAAATGCTCCGTTCTCCTGGACAACACGAGCGTGGAGAAGGAACTGTCCTGCTCTGAACATACCTTAGGAAGCACATTCTTCCCACCCCGCTCTTGCTGTGCTCAGTGGTGCACTTGGGACAAAAGCAGCAGCAGTCAGTGTGACTCTGTACATCTGCCTCCTTGTTGGAGTGCCTGTCACACCCAGCACAGCCAAGAAGTGGCCTCAGCACGTTCTGGCTCGTGGTGCAGCGGGAGCCCCCGGGGCTCATGTGTGACCATGGCCCAGCCAGAAAGAACCACCCCCAGTGCCTCAGAACATGACAGAGAGCCAAAAGGCACCATGATAAGCAGGGTTTTTTCCCTTTGGCTGTAACAGCCCAAGTGGGACAGCCCTGGGATGTGCCTGGATCAAGTGGGGAGCATCTTTGCTGAAGACGTCCCAGGCACTGCAGTTTTATGGCTCCGAGCTCCAGAGCTGGGTCTGTCACACAAATCCAGCTTCAAGACAGCATTACTGTCCCTCTGGGAGGCACTTGGGATGGGCTGCAGAGACAACAGCCCTTAAAAGCTGCTCTGAGAATATGCAGGTTTTTCCATTCCTGTCATTTGGGCCTCATCTGAAAAATTAAATGCTTATGTCCCACTGTTAACTATTCTTAGCACTAATTTCACAGTTTAAGCCCAGGGATGACCAAATGGCTTCCTTGCAGATCTTTTTCTCTTGGTTCACAGCTGGGCTGAGTTTATTTAGTTTGGTGCTTTGGTTGTATTAAAAAAAAAGCCGAACTTTTGTGACAGCCTCCATAAATGTTTTAATCAGAAACCTCAATTTCACTTATCAAACTATTTAGGATTATTTATGGTGCCACTCACCAGTGACAGTTCCCTTGTAGAATGCACCAAATGCACATCTGCAGTGAAAAACCTCACCCGAGAAACCCTTCCATGTTCATCCTTCTAAACTTTGGGGCTTGCATTCCTTCTTGATTTTCTTCAACAAGATTGAAAAATAGACCTTCTTGGGTTTCACCCACTATTTCTCACTGTACCTTTCAGAACTGAAATTTTTATAGAACCCTGCTGTATTTATATGAAAATGTGGTTTGTTTTCTTACAAAAGGTGAAGGTTAGGAGGTGTTTTCCATAAGGGAGAGTAACACAATTTTGGGCAGCCTGGGTTTGAATGAAAACATCTTCCCGGGGAGCAGACTAACTAGTGAGAAGCCAAATGTCATCCCTGACCTCCCAGGACCCAACTCTTGCTGCAAGTGAAACAAAATTAAAAATAAATTAAAAAGAATTTAAAAATTCATAATTTCACTGACACCTTTGCCTCAGTTTCCACTGTCCCAAATCAGCCCTTCCCCTTGTTGCTGGCAACTTTTATTTCAAAGCCCCTCACTGAAAGCCTGCCAGAGCAGGCCTGCAATGCCAGGCCCAGGCTGATCCACTCCAGGGGGGGTGGGAAATGCTGGAGAGGATGGGAGGGAGCAGCCTGGCTGTGAAGGAATTGCTGTTTCCTCAGGGTTTCTCAGTGTCAGATCATCCTGCTGAACATCCCAGCTCATCTCCCATCCAGAAATGCTGCTCCTTTCAGATGCTCTTCCCACAATTCTCATTTCTATTTCATTCCTTATTCTCTGTTTTCTTTACTTGGACCAGCACCAAGTGCCAAAACCTGCCTGCAAACAGCAGTGATCCTGGATAAATCACTGTACAATTAGCACTAGCAGTGTCAGAATGGTAATGAAACAAAGCTGCTCCTTCAGAAACCAAATCCTTTGCATTTCTGATTCCTGGTGGCTCCTGACGGGGCTGGGAACAGTTGCCAGTGCCAGATGAGACCACACTGTCACTTTTACTCACTAGATGCTTCATGCCACTTTTTTAGGGAGTGAAGCCTGGCTTGGCTAAGATAATCATCTCCTGAGTATCCTCTCTGTAAAATCTTATCCCTTCTAGAAGTGGAATTTCAAAATTAGCGATGCTCTGCAAACCAAATGCATTCTCTTCCTTATGAGGAGCAGACAAGGCTGGTTTGGGACAGAACAACACAGAGATCTTGCCCTGACCTTCCCAGATTCCTGTGCTGGCTCCAGGGGCTTTGCTCTCCACTGCTGGGCACTTCAGGCAAACACGTGTACATGGAATAAGTGTGAAGCCTTATGGGGCAAATAAAAATTCCTGCACAAACAAGAGGAATAATAAATCAAGCCCAAGAGCTTTAGGTCAATATGAAGAATTAACCTATTTACTGAACCTTCTGGAGATAAGAGATCATTGTTCTTTGCTTTGAAAAGATTTTTGTTTTTAATATGTGCCTAGCCTCACTTATCTATTATGCTTTGCTTCCTTTTTATTTTCCTTTCATTGAAAGTGAGACCTAACTCCTTAAAAATCATTTGGACTTGATCCTAAAGCACACTGAACACCTCCCAGTCCTTTGGAAAATAATGGGACACAAGAACTTTCACGACTTAGTTTTCATTTCTGGGAGGTGTTTCCAAGCCTCTGAAATCAGTTCAGAAGGTCCTGGGGGGGTATTTGCTGAGAAACTGCATTTCTTTGCCTTCATATTGATCTTTTTGCCTGTCCACAAACTCTCCAAGGCAAACTAATAGTCTGTTAGATCCTAAACAAGTTTAGATACAGATCTGGCTACAGAGGATGCTCAATTAACTGCTAAAACCCAATCTTGTCCTTGGTCTCCCAGTGTTTTGC